TCACTTGGTAGCCCAGGCTGGCCTCGAACTCACAGAGATCCGCCTGCCTCTGCCTCCCGAGTGCTGGGATTAAAGGCGTGCGCCACCACCGCCCGGCTGCTATCTAGTTCTTTTATCTTAAATTAACCCATTTCTATTAGTCTATAAGTTGCCACATGGCTTGTGGCTTACAGGTATCTTTACATGTTGGTTGTCATGGTGGCAGCTGGCAGCGTCTCCTGACTCAGCCTTCCTGTTTTCAGAATTTTCTTCTCTGTTTGTCTCATTTATACTTCCTGTCTGGCTACTGGCCAATCAGCATTTTATTTATACAGAGCAATATCCACAGCAGGTAGCTCTAACCAAACAAGTGAAAGACTTGTATGACAAGAACTTTAAGTCCTTGAGAAAATAAATGGAAGAAGATATCAGAAAATGGAAAGATCTCCCATGCTCATGGATAGGTAGAATCAACATAATAAAAATGTCAATCTTACCAAAAGCAATCTACTGATTCAATGAAATGTCAACACAATTCTTCACAGACCTTGAAAGAACAATACTCAACTTCATATGGAAAAACAGAAAACCTAGGATATCGAAAATAATCTTTTACAATAAAACAACTTCTGGAATTATCGCCATCCCTGACTTCAAGCTCTACTATAGAGCTCTAGTAATGAAAACAGCTTGGTATTAGCATTAAAACTGACATGTGGACCAATGGAATTGAATTGATGATCCTGACATTAATCCACACACCTATGAATACCTGATTTTTGACAAAGAAGCCAAAACTGTACAAAGGAAAAAAGAAAGCATTTTCAACAAATGGTGCTGGCATAACTGGATGTCAAAATGTATAAGATTGCAAATAGATCCATATTCATCACAATGCACAAAACACAAATATAAGTGAATCAAAGACCTAAACACAAATTCAGCTACACTAAACCTGATAGAGAAGTAGGAAGTAGTCTAGAAAGCATTGGCACAGGAGACCACTTCCTAAATATAGCACCAATAATATAGACACTGAGAGCAACAATTAATAAATGGGACCTCCTAAAACTGAGAAGCTTCTGAAAGGCAAAGGACACAGTAAATAAGGCAAAGCAACAGCCTACAGAATGGGAAAAGATCTTCACCAACCCCACATCTGACAGAGGGCTGATCTCCAAAACATATAAAAAGATCAAGAAACTAGACAGCAAAATAATAAACAATCCAATTAAAAAAATGGCTACAGGTCTAAACAGAGAATTTGCAACAGAAGAATCCCAAATGGCTGAAAGACATTTAAGAAATTGCTCAACATCCTTAGTCATCAGGGAAATCCAAATCAAAATGACCCTGAGATACCAGTCAGAATGGCTAAGACTAAAAGCACTACAGACAGTTTATGTCGTAGAGGATGTGGAACAAGGGGAACACTCCTCCACTGTTGGTGGGAGTGCAACTTGTACAGCCGATTTGGAAACCAGTTTGGGAGTTTCTCAGAAATTTGTTATTCAATCTACCTCAAGACCCAATGATACCACTCTTGGGCATATACCCAAGGAATTCTCAAGCATACCATAAGGACACTTGCTCAACTATATTCATAGCAGCATTATACATAATAGTCAGAACCTGGAAGCAACCTAGATGCCCCTCAACCAAAGAATGGACAAAAAAATGTGGTACATAAACACAATGGAGTATTACTCAGCTGTAAAAAACAAAAAAACAAAACAAAAAAAAACCAATGACATCATGAAATTTGCAAGCAAATGCATGGAACTAAAAATATTCTGAGTTACATAACCCAGACTCAGAAAGACAAACATGGTATGTACACACTCATAAGTGGATACTAGATGTAAAGCAAAGGATGATCAGACTAAAACCCAAAGCTCCAGAGAAGTAAGGAAAAGAGGACCCTAAGAGGGATGTATGGATCACTTTGGGAAGGGGAAACAGAGGAGATCCCAATGAGTAAACTGGGGATGGGGGGAGGGGCAATAGAAGGTAGGGGATGGGGGATGAGAACATGAGGAAACTGGATGGTTAAGCTGGGGGAAGGATGGAGTGGGAAAGCAATGGAGATATCTTGATAGAGGGAGGGAGACATTATGGGTTAAGGGAGAAACCTGGCACTAGGGAAATTCCCAGGACACCACAAGGATGAACCTCAGCTTAGATTACTAGCCACAGTGGTGAGGGTATCTGAACTGGCCTACCCTACTAATCAGATTGATGAATACCCTAACTGTCATCATAAAGCCTTCATCCAATAACTAATGGAAGCAGATGTAGAGATCCACAACCATACACCAGGCTGAGCTCTGGGAGTCCAGTTGAAGAGAGGGAAGAGGGATTACATGAGTAGGGGCAAGGGTCGGGGTGTGGGTGTGTGTGTGTCAAGATTGTGATGGGGAAATCTACAGAGACAACCCAATCAAGTTCAAAGGAACTCACAAACTTTAGACGGAGCGCTGTGGAACCTGCATGGGACTGGACTGGACCCTCAGCATACAGGAGACAGTTGTATGTAGCTGGATCTGTCTGAGGGGCCCCTGACAGTGTGATCAGGATCTATCCCTGGTGCATGAGCTCGCTCTCTGGATCCTATTACCTATGCTCCGACATCTTGCTCACCTCTAATAAAGCAGGGGGGCTTGGTCCTGCCTCAACTGAATGGACCAGGCTTAGCTGTCCCCTATAGGAGAACTTACCCTGTTAGAGGAGGGATGGGGGAGTGGGGGGAGGTGAAGGGGTGGGAGGAGTGGGAGGAAGGATGAGAGGGGGATCTGTGGTTGGTATGTAAAATAAATAAAGGAAATAAGGAGAAAAGGAGGTGAGAAAATGGGAAATACAGACAGAGAGAAAGAGAATGCTGAATGAAATGCAAACTAGACACTTTAGAAAACAGCTTTTTGGGGGGCAGAAAAAACTAATCACCAAGCTCATTTTTTATGTAAGCTTCACGATGCCCCAAATGTATGTGTCCAAGAACAACTTAAGTAGAGCTTCAGACATGAGCTCAACAAGTCGCCACAACTGCAAAAAGAAAAAAATACAGAGCAGCCCACTAACACCATGGTCTTTTGATAATTTCTGGAGGATGGTACTTCACATTTCACAGAGATCTGGATTGGTTGCTAGCCTTTTGGCAACCTTCACCCTCCTCAAGGGAAGGCAAGTTTGCAAATAATGACAGGATGAATGCCTTGCCAAGACGGAACACATTTAAATGAAATTAAAGAAAAACATCCTTACTTTAAATAAGTTTTCATTTAGCCAAGATAATTTGCCTAAAAATTTTTGGAACAAATTGATACACACATTGTGACAAGATATTGAAGACAGTCACACATGTTCTTTGTGTTACAAAACATAAGTGGACTGAAAAGACCACGTCTAGCTATAATTAATATAAAATATTTTCTAAAATAAATTTTTGAGTCCATTCAAATTTCCTTTCTTAATGATGATTAATTTGTGGCAGCCATTGAAATAATTGTCAGAGACAAACTAAATTTTTTTGCGTTTAATCAGAACTGGTCATTTTTACATATAAAGTTGCATTTAAATTCATATAATAACTGAAACTCATAACTAATAGTATTTGGGGTTGTAAAAATGGTATTTTTTTCATGAAGAAAAAAATTATTTCCTTAGTATTATAATCGTTGATATGAAAATAGTGTGGACAGACTGGAGCTGGGTTTTTAAAGTGTGTTTGAAAACATCTTAAGTAATTTTGTACACATATTGTCTTATTTCAGTAACGTAAATGTTAATAAGTTCACCATTATCACAAATTACCAGACAAAGTCTAAAAGCAATATGAAAATGCAGTTTCATAACATTCTTTAGAGTAATTAATGAGCTATTTCTCTGTATCCTTCTTTCTGCAACAGAGTCATATTAGGAGCCAGCCTGGGTACTAAGTAAGGCAGGGGGGTTGCCTGAAGTTGGTTACCAGCAGAGTGCGGGTGGCATTAGGCAGAAGGCTAAATCTTACATGGTAGAAGAACTAGACAGAGTTAATCCCGACTGTGCTTTGAGCAGGAATATCTCCTCCATTTTCTATCCTTGGCAGCTTTCAGAGACGCAGGAGTGAAATACAACCTTCAGCCCAGTTAAGACCTTCACTCAGGCAAGACTGCCTATACATCCCATTACATAGAAGAAAACGGCTTGACTTACTTGGATCCGATAAGATGGAGTCTGTTTTCGGTAGAAATTGATCACAACGGACTCCTTGGTAGCCTTCTTTGCACCTGAGAAAAGGGGATAAATGACAAATATATGCATGTGATTGTGGAAGATTTGAGATCTCATCAAGCAGATTCAGCATTAACAATGAAGCAAGAGCAGTCTACTTAGACTTTTTTATTTGATTCAACCTATTTCCCATATCCAAAGGCAGATTCTAGATTCTAATTTTGTCCAAAACAAACAAATCAACAAAAACTCCAGAAGAACACAGCTATGCAGTTATAGAGGCAAACACAGTACTCAAAGAACAAATCCACCAACACCCCAAATTCCCCTCTCATCTGTGTGGATAGTGGTGCATGTTTCCTATTCAATACTTTGGTTTCCAAGTGCACTCAGAGACATTTTTCAAGCACCATTTTTTCTTACAACAGATATTTTCTAATATTACACACCAGTTACAGTTTTAGGCTTACTGTATTATTTCCTTGTGTTTTATTGGTTTTCTTCTTTACTGATTTTGCTTTTTTGAATTTATTCTGTAGCTCTTCTTCCTGTCAGAGTCACTTCCTTGCCAGAAATATCAACAGATCACCTGGCATGGTCGGAGGAAGCATCTAAGTCTCCCTCTTTGCTCCTGTATAGTTAGAAAATACATGCAAAGTGCCTAGCCTCTTCCAGGCATTGTCAGGGCAACTATCCTGAGTGAGTATATTGCTGAGGCTAGGAACACCCTGGAAGCTTTGAGGCGCATCCAAACCTTCAGTTCTGCTTGTTCTGCTTGGCTCAATCAATTATGGCTGCTTGATCAGCTTGGACAACCGCCACACATCTACAGCCAGTTCAAGCTACAAATGTAACTAAGGTCCCAAACACTGTCTGGATACAGTCTCTTTAAGTGAGAAGGTGGTATTTACTGGTCTTCCTAAGGTTTAATCCGTCATGCTTGAACTAAGCAGAGAAGTCACCATTGTCACCTGTGAGATGAATCCATCCTACTTGAAGAGGGAAAAAATTGGGCTGCTGACATAAAAATCATGAAAATCCGATTTGAAAAACAACCGTCTGCTTGTTAGAAATCTATGAAATTGACAAAAGTATTCAAAGAGACGGTCCCTTGGCACTTGCCAGGAGGACGGTGAATTCTTCACTCGGACTGTGCTTTGTCTCCTGAGTGTGAGAAGTATTAGATGAGGCTTACTGCAACAGGGGCAGCAATACTGAAGACCACTTTCTGCCTTTCATTCAGAGCTAAACTGAAACTCAGATAATCAGACAGGCTCTCTTCAACACCTTTTTAAAACATGAAACTCTCAAAAATGTTGGTGATTTTCCTCCATAGTCTGAGAACAAAGGTTTCTACTATGTGTATACAGATATCTCAGAAATCACATGTGCCTTCCAAATTCATTTGAGCAAACCCTTATCTCCCACTGCTTTAAATATAAATAATATCTATTGTGGCTTGAAATAAAATGGACAAATGCTTGGTTTTCTAATAGTGAAAAGTCAGACAGACAATACTTAGGGCTGAAACATATTTGTGATAAATAAGATAAAGTTCTGTGTTCTGAAAGCTGCCCTGATGCTGACATTTATGCTCATCTAGAATTATCAATGCCAAGGTACTTCAATCCTTATTTCTCTGTGACTGTGAATCATGCCCTGCATATGTGTTATCATGCACATACACTTTCTAGAGCTGTTATTTCCAACCCATGCGGGAGATTTTATATATCTTTTAACTGCTTGTATGTTTATTTAATGTGGAAATGACATCCTAGTGGGAATGGCAGCTTTTAAAGGAAAGCACCATTTTTTGTTTGTTTCTTTGCTCACTTTGCTTGTTAAAGTTCATTGTTACTTAAAACACATTATTCTATTTGTGTGTGGAAAACAAAATAAAAGAAGAGTTTTAAAATTTTTCCAGTCTTAAACTGATTGACCATCAATCAGAGCCCACCTTAGGGTATCAGGCTTCAAGGGATGTTGGGAAAATTGTAAATTGAGTCTTTTCCAGCTATCTTCACACCTGTGGGCTGCAGGTAATAGAGCTTGCTGGTGAGTGAGCAGCCTTCCTCCGGCTAGGGAGCCAAGCACAAGGCCCATAGCCACTTACTCAACCCCAGCAAGCCCTGCTCTGTTGGGAAAGATATGCAAGCCACTGCCAATTGGTGCTAGGGTTTGAAAAAACAACACACAAATTTCTCATTTAAAATCCCACAAACACCACCTTGATAAGTTCAGACTTATCCAAACATGAAGATGGAATGTTGTTAGTGTAGACTGCTGATGAAGTGATTTGGATATAAGACAATACTGAAGCATTAGGGGAAGGGGGTGTCTTCAGAAACAATTCTATTGCATGAATGAGTCTGGAGAACCCACTCTTGGGCTGATAATTGACAGATATTGTGTGGTTTGCTTCTGCTTCAGTTAGTTTGGAAGATGAACAGAGTTATCGTTTTCTTTTTGAAGAATACAGTGTAAAGTACAAGAGGGGTATTTATATACCAGAATACTGGTCTCATCTTAAAGAGTGGCATAATGAATGGCATTGAAAAGTACATGTGTAATATTGAATGGTAAATATGGCTTTCTTTAAAAAAGCACAAATCTTGCCTTAGCTGGGTTAGTAATCTGTTCACTTTCTTCTCTGCTTTTCTCTGAAAGCTCACTCAGTCCACCTATTCCTATATTTCTTTGTCTTTTAGAAGCCTGCTTAATAGCTACTATATTAAAAAAATACAATATTGTTTGGTCATTTCACAGGTAAGTTTTGATTCTACATACTCAGGCAATAAACATCAAGGGTTGACAAAAGATTGCATGAAGAAAATGAGAGACTTATTACCAAATGTAAAATAAGTACCAAGCAAAGTTGGTTTATAAGAGCTGAGATGTGTTACTGTGGGCAAAATTAGCCTCAAATTTCTTGTGTTTACTTGGAGCTGAAGAAGTTGTCTCTTTAGAAAATATAACTTCTTAACACACATTTTGCTTAGTTTCCAAGTATAAAAATCATAAGGAAAAGGATCATGGAGATGACATTTGAAGCCAAGTAGGGCAGATAAAATGATATAGACACAACTATAATTGTTCCCTAGAAGAAGAGAGACTAGCCACTGGCAATGGTGGACACAGAGTTAAGAGAGGGATGGGTACTCTGCACACCCAGCTCCAGTATCTTCCAGGTCTAGTCAATGGTGAGCGTAGGTACCATATTACACTCATGTCCCCAGAGTGTAAGACCGTGTAATTTCAAATGTATCCACATGTCCAGTTTAATTCGAAATAACAGGAGTCATTTTGGATCATTTTTTCTCTTCTACATTGCCCTGAGAAAAAACCCAGTGGCTGGTTTTAGCCAACAAACAAACCAAAAAAAAAAAAAGATAATCAGTAACCAAAGGGAGTGCCATGGATATCAGCCAAGATGAGGAAGTACAAAACACATTATCTTTGGCTGGAATTCAATATTGTTTAGTCTGGTATGGTAAAACAGAAATAGTCAATATATCAAGACTGCATGTGGAAGGACCGCAAAGAAAAGAGTTTTAAATAGTTCAGTTGGCACACTTTCCCTGTCCCATGAACATCTTGCCAGGATAGTGAATAGCAATGAATGTAAAGACTCACAGTTGCTGAATGGGCTAAGGAATAAGCAATGTTTGAGTGTTCAGCCCTAAATGGGACATGTCTAAATGGGACATGTACAACACCCCCTCTAAGTCTCAAGAACAACTCAAAAACAAGAGCAGAAAGAATAAGAGCAAGAAGATAGGGAGAAGTGTTGCAGAATATTATTTTAAAGTGTGTTACTTTTGTTTATATTGCATTTGTTTAGCTCTGTGAGGCTGTGTTACTGTGCCTGTCTAAAATACCTGGTGGTCTAATAAAGAGCTGAATGGCCAATAGCAAAGCAGGAGAAAGGATAGATGGAACTGGCAGGCAGAGAAAATATATAGGAGAAGAAATTTGAGAGAGGAAAAAGAAAGAGTAAGAGAAGAAACGGAGGATGATAGGGACCAGCCATCCAGCCACCCAGCCACCCTACCAGCCATTTGAGTAAGTGTAAGATTTACAGAAGTAAGAGAAAGGTAAAAGCCAAGAGGCAAAAGGTAGATGGGATGATTTAAGAAAAGCTGGCAAGAAACAAGCCAAGGCAAGCCTGGGCATTTATAAGTAAAAATAAGCCTCTGTGTGTGATTTATTCAGGAGCTGGGTGGCAGGTCCCCCCAGAAGAGCAAAACACAAACAACAGAGAGGGGTAGTGGAGTACTGGCTTCAGAGTGTGACAAGAACAATGCAATGTGATCTCATAGCAGCTGATGCTACTTCCTATGTTAGGCCAGAGCAAGACTGGTTCTGTCAACAGCCAATCATGGATCATGGAGGGATCACCAGGCCTATCCCTCCCTACTGGCTATCAATACGCTCATGAGGAGGAGCAGTAACTGGCTTCAGTTGTATACCCAAACCGAGCCAATTTGGCTCCAATGATTAGTTCCATGGTCACAGAACTGGCAATGGTTGTAATCAATGGGTCATAAAACAATAAGACACACGAATGTGGGGAAAGAACTAGCATAGAGGTTGGAGGGTGGATAACAGGTGTGGGAGGGAGGGAGATAAAGAGCAGTGGGTGAGGATAACTAGAATGCACTATATACACATATAAAATTGCCATAAAACAACTTTATTGACAAAAAAGAAGTTTGGTCATGTGTTTATGTTCAACAGGAGCTGTCATCTTTGATTGGCTTAAAGCAGTTCTTGCAGTCATCAGCCCAACTACTAACATCATTTTCACCTCTTTCTTACAGTTCTCATACAACAGTTTACTTGTTTGAGCCAATGATTCTAGTATGGGTAAAAGCTGCAGAATCCCCAGGTGCCATTACAAGTTATCCAATGCTTCCAGAATTTGAATTTCAACATCTTGATAGAATAATTTAATTTAATTTAAAATACATGTTAGGTGAAATACATTTTTCACTTTCTCTTTCTCCTTAATTTTCTCATTTCTTAGTGGAAATTGTTATTGCTCACCTGGACTGTT